ACATTGAATAATTTAGACAAGTTTTGTTTACTTATTTTTAATAGGATCCTCTCATATTCATGGACAAACTTCTTAGTATCCTTATTAAAAGAAGAGAGAAAATCACCATGTTGATACATATTTATTTATTCCAAGTACTTTCAATATTAGCACAATGTCATCATCAGGATATGTTCATCTAAAAGTTAATTTTTTTACCGTGAAGTGAAAAATGATAAGGTTATGTACTGAACCAAATGAAATGTTAGAAAATATGCTTAGAATTAGTTTATAATATCTTCAAAACAGTTTCAGCCCTTCTAAAGAACACATCAAAACTGAATGCTAACCATGACTGTCAACTGTTGCATTTAAAAGCAAAGAGAAAAATTACAGTAATGGATATCAAAAAATAGTTTTGCATTACTACTTGCACCCGTGAACAACATACAGTTTTGTACTACTGCATACACCCCTGAAGATGATCTCGGAAGAAGATTGAAAGTATTGGGGAATGGAAAATAAAAATGATTTTCACAGTCATAGCACATTTCTCACATCATTTGATTGCAAAACACAGAAGGTTATCTGTAAGTATGAATGGATTTTATTAAAAATAAGCAGGCATAATGTCTGTAATTTATTTAATCAGACACACATACATACACACACACACACACACACACATACACACACACACATATATATATATATATATATAATCACACAAATTGAAGTGCAGGCATATTTGTTACCCTGCATTGGGATTGAACTTACATCCTCTTGGTTATAAAACCTAATGCTTTGTTCGATTATTCTGTCTCCCCTGTTGATTCAAATGGGTTGTATCCAAGTAGCTCAATTTATTTACATTATTTATATTGTTTGGACTGTTGTCCTCATCTTTATTGACATATTCAGTAATATGGGAACTAGTAATGCAGAGTGCTAGAGAAAGGCAATAATAACAACTAAAATTACAATATGAGCTCTAGTAAAAAAAAATGATTACGTTTATAAGTCCCCAAAATTCATGCACTGATGTCCTCAAGGACACATGTGCCAATGGATAAAAGCATTGGTTGAATCCAGTGACTTGACCCAAAGTGTTGGCTACTGCAGTGGTGGACAAATTTGAGATTTGATTTAATGGGAAATAACTGAGATATCTGAAAGAGGCATGGCATGTAGAACTAGAACAATCAACCCAGGTGGATGAAATAAAGGGTGCAGTTCACAACTCCAATCATCTAAAGAAGGCCGAGACGTACAACAGCCGAAACTTTCTACCCATTCTTTCAATTTGAACTGAATGTGAAAAAATAAATGTCAACAAATTTTTTTAAAAGTCAATCATTTTCTTTCTTTTTTAGTCATGAGAAACAGCAGCTTGGGAAAAAGTAATGAGATTTCATTATTTAAACATATGCATACATGTATTTCCTTTTTTCATTTTCACTTTTGAATCTGATGAAGCCTTAAATGGCAAAATGCATTATCGGATATATTTCAGAAGAAATCTACTTTCATGAACGTTTTCCAATTGTCAAAATTTTTTTAAAATCTTGTAAAAGGTGAGGAACAAAATGTATATTTGTCAGTATATATATATATATATATATATATATATATATATATACAAACCACCTGTGTGTATGTGTGTGTGTGTGTGTGTTTTAAAAAGAGTTTGAAAAACCCCACAACATTCACAATAACTTAAACTGTAACTTCAAAAATGCAATAAATACACTCAGGTGCACAAAATGCAACAAATCTTATATAGGTATCACTCAAGCACTAAACAACATAGTTTCCCTACACAAAAGCAATATTAAATTACCACACAACAGAAAAGTCTTTGTGTCACAACACATCCACAAATGCAACAATGATAACTTTAAAATTATACCAATATATCAAATAGATGATTACTCTTATCTCCAAATACAAGAAAAAAACTTCACAGACAAATTTAAATTAACACTAAACAAATCATAACCCCACACACATAAACACACGCCATATAGTCATAGTGGCAAAACACACTTGTCAGGCCACACACACACATGAACCCTACACTCCGTACAAAGTGTATGTATATATATATATATATATATATATATATATATATATATATAAAGAAAGAACAGTAAGATATATAATCCAGTGTTCTTATAGATATATTTATTTTTAAAAAATAGTGTTCAATGCAAATTTACAGAGCATTAATATTATAAATTAATTGATTTAAAATATGTTTTTTTTTCACTTTGTCTGGTTGAATTGGATTTCTCTGTATCCTTGGAAACGTGAATTATGATTTTTGCTGTGTCTTTAAAACCCAGTAACTTAAAAAGTTACTCCAAAATTCGCTTGAGGATGAAATGGAACTAATGTCTTTAATTTAATTACAAAATTAAATTCGGAGCTTTCAGCTTCCATTTTTGAAACATAGTTAGAACTGTGTAGCGAAAAAAAACATATTTTAAATCAATTAATTTATAATATATATATATATATATATACTATTTCTTTGTAATAATACAAATATATATGTATGCAGAAAGAATATATATATATACACATACTGGCAAAAACACACACACACAATAGACAAGAATAGAAAAAGAAATGAAAGGAAACTAAAAATTATAAGAACAAAGACCTCGATTCTTTCCCTTTCTTTGACCAAATTTTTATTACCTTTAAAGCAAGCGGACATTTTTTGGCCAGTCCAAGATAGATTCACATGACTCCTACTACACAAAAAAGAGAATGGTTAAAAGACTCAACATAGAAAGAAAAATATAATTCCTTTAAATAATGTGGAAATAACCATTCTTTGCCTAATGAAGGTCACAAGACCCTAAACACATGTAAGAAAATATATAGGATAACGTATATAAAACTCCTCATTATAATAAAAAATGTTTGAGTCTTTTTCTTTCTTTAAAATATACACTTTTCTCTCATTGGAACAACTCTAATTTCTTCCTTATATAAGGTTATATTAAGTTTTTGGTAGCAAGAGAAAAGAATAATGAGGATTAGATTAAAACATTGTTGCTAGAAAGCACAGGAATAGCAATCTGGTGTAAGCATGGTGTTGGTTGACCATTTTTTGTGCCAGCATCACCAAGGTTACAGAATATGGTCAGTGCATGTTTGGTTGATCGAGGTCACGGTAGTAGGTCATTTTGTCAGTTGGTAGACTTGTTGTGTTGAACCAGGGCAACATCGGATTGGCATGATCTTGGTAGTCCTGTTCCATGGAATGGAGGTTGCGTTGTCAACTGTGAAAGGAATGCCTTGTAAATGAATCAAGGTAGTCATATTCTGTGGAATGGAGGTTGCTGGTGTCGACTGTGAAGGGATTGCCTTGTAAACAAGTCAAGGTAGGCAGAGTTGACAGCGGAGTTAGTAGCCCTGTTCTGTGGGACAAAGGTCACTGGTATTGACTGTGAAGGGAATGCCTTGTAAATGAGTTGAGGAAGGCTGAGGTAACAGCAGGGGTTGGTAGGCCTCTTCTATGGAATGAAGGTTGCTGTGTCGACTGTGAATTGAATGCCGTGTAAATGAGTCGAGGTAGGCAGAGGTGACGGTGGAGGTTGGTTCACCTGTTCTGTTGAATGAAAGTCACTGGTGTCAACTGTGAAGGGAATGCCTTGCAAACTAATCCAGTGGTAAAAATTATATTTAAAAATAAAAAAAGAGAGTTGAAGGGAGATAACTGCAGAACATTATCATTGATAACTCTCTCCAATTTGCGAAGCCTCGTTACTATATTCTTAATACTTGATATAATGCAAAAATATCACAATGATAAAATCGATCAACACTTATGACTATTTATACTGAGACTCATGCATGCAATTACAACATTTTAAATTTTAAAATCATATTTATTTTTATTAAATTTTTTTAAAGTTATTTTTAAATCTTTGATTGTTTTGCAATCACTGCTAATTCTTTTTTGCTACACATATGAGGCACACCACACACCACACCATTTGGGAATGACTGATCTAAGAAGAGTTGATATGTGGTCCCAGCATGTAGTTTTGTATTTATTATCAGGATAAAACATCCAAAGGCCAAAGAGCTCTAAGGGTTGAACTAGAAGGTGAACTCAAAGCTACCAAGTGCCGAATCGGGCCTCATATGATGCTGGTAGATGCACCAACATAAACAAGTATGTCAACCCAGCTGAACTTAGGATATAAACACAAAGACAACTGGATAGCAAGAAGTTATATAAATGCCCAACTTACGAGAGACAGAATCCTTCTTCTCTTAAGAAGATCAAACAGCTGAATAAAAACCTGAAACCACATACCCTTGATTCAACTGAGATAACTTTTAGGGAGTCAAGAAGTAAATAATTGTTCTATGTATGAAAAACTTTGTCTTGCATCTTTATCAACATTACTAACATAATATTACAAATATGACTTGAAAACTGTAGATGATATTTTCTTTTTTTTTTAATCATTTCACACAAAGCAAGGTGATGATGTAACTAGAACACAGTGGGTTAGAGGGAGGGAAAAATGAAAGTGAATGAGAAAACTGAGAAAGCGGAAGATTTAGGAAAGGACTAAAAGAAACAAGGTTCGAGAAGATGGCAATTAAGGTTGTACTTAAAATTTTTGAAGATTTTAGTTATTAGGGAAAGAAGAAATTAGAAGGGAGTTCCACACGTGGGAGGTGTGAGAAAAAAGCTGTTAGTGTAGAAGTGGTGCTTCCATCTAGCTAGTTTAACAGTAAAATGGTAAGATCTAGTTGCCAATCTAGTAGCACACTTAAATTCATGTGCTCAGAGTTCCAGGGCTAAAAGCTCATCAGAACCATTTTTTTTTTCTGGATAATTGCAATATATTAATTTGCGTTATCTCTAGAGAATTTCCTTTTTTCATTATTAAATTTTCTTGTTGCTTATTTCTCAATTTAATTTGGATATTTTGTCACTCTTGATTGATATGTTTAAACTTTCTTTTGTTATTAGAACGAACTTCATTTAGTGAACATCACGTTGTTCAGCTGGAAAATTGGATTGATGAATATACAGCAGAGTTACCTCCCTTGAAAAACTTCATTCTACCTGTAAGTTTCTTAGTGTTTTTCTTCACTTGAATTTTTTGGCAACATGCTGAATACATGTTGAAGTTATCACAAACATTTTTGTTGAGATTTACAAACCCTATGCTTCATTCGCAATCACAAACCAGTCAATGAAATATGAACGAGCTGATTTGTTTGGAAAAATTCTTTGACAAAAACCCTAATTCACGGTTTAATAATTTCTTTAATTTAACCTTATAGTTAATACATTATAACTATTTTTTTCCTTTTTAACACCAAAGAATAAATTCTTATGATTTCTTACTCTTAAGCATGCAACATACAACTGGCCATGTGCAAATATTTCTTTCAGGAGATAAATTCCAACTTTTTGAAGTGTTTGGCCTTGTTATCTCCAAACATTGGTACGCCATCCATTTACTCAAGTTTATTCTTCTTTCTATGTGCCATTGGCAATCATGGCTCTCCAAATTTTATAAAAACAAAGTTTTATCATCAAAATCTTTGTTATTATTAAGAGGGAAAAAAAATCAAAGGAATTTTTTATTACTAAATTATATTTTTTAATCCTTTTTAGAACCTTTGAAATTTTGGTTAAAATTCTTTTTTTCCTTTGTCAGCAGATGACCATAAATTACTATAGGAAGTTTTAGCATCTTTTTACAGTAAAAACACATTGATTTAGAAATTCTTGCACAAAATCAAAATTATTGGATTTTAATAAAAATTTCAGGACTTATTGATAAATGAATTAAATTATTTCAAAAATATTTTTTTTAGAAAATCATGGTAGAAATATTTTTTTTTTACATCTGTTACCCCAATATTTAATTTAATGAAATTTTGAGAAATTCATTTTTGTAGGACTTAATTTTTATATTAATTACAAGCAGAAATGCCTACAGAATTTAAATCATCAATTTGTTTTTCTCAAACAGGACTACCAGTTACCAAAAATCTGCCCTGAATCCTAAAATAAGAAATGTAATAAAAAGAAAGCATTATTTAATTAGAAAATCTTTTAATTGCTCTAATGAATATAATATATTACAGACACTATTGACTGAAGAAAAATTATTTTTTCAATAATTAATGAATTTTACAAGAATTATTTTAATTTAAAAAAATATTTAATTAGAACAATTTATAAAGTTTTAAATCTTTTAAAATTCTATATTAATTTTTACCAGTTAGCTGATATTGTTATTAACTAAAAACTATATTTATTAATCATAAATGGAAAAGCTTACTGCAATCCAGAGACCCCCTGTATTTTAAAACGAATTAAATTTTTTTTTTGTGTGTGTGCATGTGTGTGTATAAACATGCGAATGTTTGTAAATATGAAAATTATATAAATGAGGTTCTTGTATTTAAAATTTTTATGGATATGTTCCCCATAGTAAAAAATTAGTTAAATTTACCAAACATTAGGTTGTCAATAGAGTTGTCAAAACCTCATAAAGTAATATTTGTTTCAAATAAGAGTGATTGAACTTTAAATCAGTTTCAAATAAAGTTTCAGAAAAGTATATTTTATTTTTGAAAGATTTTTTTTTAAAGAGAATTACATTGTGCTGAGAGAATTGTAAATATGGATAAAATTAGTAATTCTTTAATGATTTAGAAAAAAATCACTCCAATCAATTTAAATTCATTTTCAAATACAGCAAAATGTTTTGCAAATTGGAAGTTAATCTATCAGCATGGAATTCAAAATAAATTAAAAGTTTAAAATAAGATTTTTCATTTTTCAAAATTCATTTTAAACCTTAGGTATTGCTTTTCTTTTGAGATACCTACTATAATGTCTATCTTTAGGTAAATACAAAGAAGCAAGAGAAATAAGATGAAAGAAAAACTTGTTTGAAATTAATACTGAAAACAGCAGTCTTTTATAAATTTGGAAAATGTCAGTTCCAAATGTTCTTGTCCATTTTGAAATGTCAGGCTTCGCCAATTCACAAAATGCTCTTAAAACTGACAAATACAGATTTTATTTATACAGATGGTCTTTGTGAGAAATGTTTCTCTTCTGTTTAATCTTGCTAAATCATTTCATTGGTATTTCCTGTCTTCATCTCCCAAATAGTTTTTATACTGTCACTGTTACTGAATGAATGCCTTGTGGGTTTGAACTTTTATTTGGAATCGTTCATGAAACAGATGATAGGTGGGGAGATGTTCTTATAAACATTATGTTTCAATAATCGCCTCCTATTGTTAAGGATGCAAAAAAACATAACACTCTGCTTATCCAGCCTTGTTTATAAAGCTGTGAAATCTACATAATCTTTGTTAGGTCACTCTAGAAGTGTTACTTGTACCATGTAACCAGCTGCCACATGACCAGATAATTGGCTTATCTAGTGAAGAGATTGGCTATAGACTCAGAACGATTAAAAACAACACCTGTCAACCTGTACAAATCCTGAGGATCACTCAAGGTAGGTTACATTAAGGATTAGTTTATATGGATAAGAGCGGAAGATAGCAGTTGACTCTAGACTTGAACTGGTTAAGATTGTAGTGATTGGGGAAACACTTCCTTGGGAGTCAGTTCCACAAGGCAGTGGTTCACAGAAATAATCCGTTTGAGTGGAACTTACTTCTCGCTGGTGGAATACAGAGAGAATGTAGGTGGTTTGCTACTATGTAAGGGGCATAATGGGTCCTAGCGATGAAGGTTAGACCAGGTGGAAACATGGAATGTCATTTGTCTGAGCACTTTCCATGGTAGTAGCGATAGAGCAGTGAGAGATTCACCATATCCCACCTGTTAGAGGGTGGAAAATAATTCTTCTCCAACAAAGAGATGCTTTTGAATTCTATCAAGACTGGAAAGTGAGGATTGGTCAGCTCCAGCCCAAATATGGCAACAGTACTTCATTTTAGGCCTAATCTGGCTCTTATAAAGGTAGAGGATAGCCTGAGGAGTCAGGTACTTATTGGAGCGGTAAAGGAAGCCAATCATTTTATCAACCTTCTTGTAAGGGCAATGGCTATCTAAAACAATGGGGTACACTGAGCTTCATATGCAGCCATTGCAGTGATGGCACAGCATCACTAGGCAGAGGTATTCCTGGTCTGAAGTTAATAGGCAGGGCAATTTTTCAGTTTTAAAAGTAGAGATGACATATCCATCCAAATTTTAGATGGATGCATCATCTCTGCTTGAATTCAAGATGCTAAAAATTATACTAACTTTGTTACTATAACTTTATTAATTTTTTTCTTTGTTAAATTTGTTTAAGAAGTTAAATGCATGTGAAATCTGATTGACCAATGAAAATCTAACAACACAAAAGTAAAAATACAAGAATTTCTTTCTTCATTTTCTCCATGTGTCATTCTCTGATGAAGCTGCAATAAAAGTGAAACATGTTAGATTTATAAATGTTTCCTATTTGTTCTTTATCTTATCATTCTGTCAGATTCCGATCCATTTTTGATCCCAACTTATACACACACACACACACACACACATATATATATATATATATATATATATATATATATATTTTATATTATTTTCAGATAGAGTGTATCTGTAAAGGAACAAAATGAATAAAAAGACAAAGTAAATCCATTCTTAGCCAATGATTTTCATACTCTGAGGGACTTTTTCAGGGCAAGGTCTTGATAAAGAGCCTCACAGGACAAAATGTATCAGCTAAGTTTTTCCTCTTGTCTTATATTCATGTGTGGGTTGTGTATTTGCATTATATAAGGGACATCATGTCTAAAATAGCTTCATGGATCTTTGACACCATCAGAAGATGAATATATTATTAAATATTTTATGCACATTAGACTTTGATACATATGTATGTATGTATCAGGGATAAGATACATTTTTATATATATATATACTTATGTAACGTGCAATTTTGCATATTGTGCAACCCCAAGATTTTCACTTATAAAAAATTATTTTATCATGTATCTTGTGTATAATGCAAGTTCCTTTTTTGAGAGACCAAATTACAATAGACTAACCTTTTTCCCTCTATCTCTTTATCTCATCTTCTAGTTAAACAAGTTAAAAAAAGTAAAAGAGAATGATAAAAGTATCATTAGTAACGCTATACTTGTTGCATAAACACATACACTCATAAAAAATGAACAAGAAACAGCTAAACATCTTATAAATGTAAACAATGAAAAAGATGCATATTTGCTATGTTTGTTTTTTATGATGCGATACTAATATGTGAATATTACATGCATTATTATTGGATACAATTAAGTAAAACATCAATTTTATCAAAATCATGTTTATTTTAAATACAGCAGTACTTTTTGACTACAGCAAATGAATATGTAGTTTGGTCAATGGCATAGTACAGCAGTATATACACTAATTTTATATCTCATGTATGACGTGACCTTCTTAAAATTAGCTTCAAAATTAGGTCTTCAAAGTTGTACGATATGCGAGTATATACAGTATGTGTCAGAAGTAAGATAAATCTATTGAATTTATTTTGAAGTCAATAGATTTATCTTACCTATGTCATATAGATCTTTGTCTGTGAAACTCCAGCTTAGAAAATAAGTCATCAAACATTTTTTTATGTATTCACTATGAATGCTTTGTTAATATTGAGCATTTTATTTGCAAAACCTGCTCGCCTTAAACACATTATCCTTCATTAATTTACTGATCAACAGGTTTTGTCAGGTATAAAGAATCTTTGTTATTTCTTCTTTCATACTTTGAATTTACAAATTTAAGTGCAGTATTAGATTGGTAGTTAGGTTTCATCTTTTTACAGTCTTAAATTACTAGATGTAACCATAAGTTCTTTGCTAACAATTTTTCTTTACGTATTTCTTGCTTATGGAACTTTCTTCTGGCTGCTTGCTTTCCTGTCACCGATGATCTTCAAAAGTTTAAATGCAGTATCAATCACTATCTTCTGTCTTCCTGAATCCTGTTTATTTATTGTCCTTTCACCTGACTAATAATTACTTTTCTTTATTCACAATCAGTAACCGCTTACACCTTAGTAGTTCTA